CATCTCAAATGCTTTACCAAAATTATCCATTATAGATGTAGCTCGGTAATTTTCGAGTTTACTAGGGTCCCCAGCTTAAAAATAGGGCACACGTTGCTGTACTGAGGGAATAATTAAAAATTTTCTTTAAAGGCATGACAAATATGTCCGCCGCATCACGGACTACAAAGCTCGTTACCAGATCTTCTCCTGCTATTAACTTGTTTGGTAATTTAAAGAGCGCCTTTAGAATATCCTCATCTGTCAAGTTACCCAGATGGAAACAGTCATGCTGAGTATTAACAACGGGATGTTGGTATAAATCATTATCTATAACATAAACACTTTAGAAATAGTCTGCGAATGAACTAATAGACCGATTAAGGATTATCTGAGACTTCATTAGCAAGGGTCATCCTACCTGGTATGCTAGATGAGCCTTTCTTAGACTGGATGAAAAACCAACAATGATTCGGATTTGTGACCAAATCATTTTCAACTTTTTGCAGATATAGATTGTAACAGTCCTTTATCTGTTGTTTAACAAGTGCACGTACCCTAAAAAATTGTCCATAGATTTCCTGACTTCTGGAACGTTTATATTGTTGATACAGTTTACGTTTCAGTTTTAAATTTCGAATAATATCCGAGCTATACCAACCTGAATAACGATGCTTATGCTTGATATATTTCCGGAATTACAGGTCAAAAACGAAGTATAATTTTCATAGAACAAGTGACACATGCGATTGACATCCTCCACGTTGTCCAAAAAACACCAATCAATGTAAGTCAAGGCATTGTAAAGGCCAATGGAATTAGCTTTCCTGAAGTTGCACGTTGGAGTTGCTACATTCGTGTCAAAATTCAGAGTGGCATTGAATTTAGTTTCACAAACTACAAATAGAGACGGATGATGTAGGATGAAAAGTTTTGCAGGTCATGTCAGTTATCACAAAATCCAACATGCTTTGTCTAGCATTCCAAATAGTATTGGTTTGAGAAAGACCTGAAAATTCAAAAAATCTGTTTAGTGCAGTCGAATGTCTATCAACAATTGTATTATCAACAAAATTTGTTACATCGAAATCTCCTATAATTAGGACATTTAATTGACTTATTGTAGTTTGTGAAAATAATTCCAAGAATGTTTCAAAGTCTGCAAATGTTACTTGTGGTGGTACGTACAGGACATATATAAATACAGAATTAAAACCTATAGTACACTTGAAACCCAGAAAAACCCCTCCTCCGCATGAAGTGTCTGTTCTTAAGAAATCGCGGTCACAACGGTACACAATATACTCAGGAGGAAACAGTTCCGAATTTCTCACATCACTACACAACCAAGTTTCGGCAAGTCCTACAAAATCATAATCAGAAGACAAAATTGCGGAATAAAATTCATTGGATTTGGTATTCAGTCCGCGCACGTTTTGAAAATAACAGCGCATAGGGATATTTTTTTGGGCTTCCCTAGTTTTCCGAAACGATTCTAGGGACACCACGAACGTACTCGACCTTTAAGCCGTCTTCGTCTCTTGCAGATCGTTCTTCCATCTCCTGTTTCAGTTTCTTATAATGCAAGATCTGTCGACGTGTACGATCAAATGAGATACTAATCCTGGAGAAAACATTGCTCCTCTTTAAGTTGCTAGCTGGCTTAATACAAGCACGAACATCATCTCATCCCTAAGTGTTCATTAATGGGCCTCGTTATACAGCATTGACAGATCCTAGTCTAATCGGCTTAATACTATCGGCATTAACATCACGATCCAAGACCTGTAGGTTCTTTTTGACTTGTTCAGTGTCATAAGCCCTCTTTTGCGCGATGGACTGATCTGCACTCTCTGAACCGCAAAGATAATTAAGTGTTTCTTCCTAGACTGTCGTGTATTTCTTGAATTATATGTCCATAGTCGACAGACGGTGATATCTGGGCTGTGTCAGTGCGTGTCGACTTGAGCGCGTTTATTTCCTCTTGCAAAGCAATGACCAATGCTCGAAGATCAGATAGTGTAGCACCAATCATGCTACAGTTTTTACAGGTGAAATTAACGTTTGATTTGATTTTCAAAATTTCGGCATCATTTTGGGACAACTCAACGCAGCTGTAAAAGTAATGGTTCTTGCACACAGAACAGCTCACAAACTTGTTGTCAGCACCAAGTTTTTTGCAGCAAGTACCACCGTTACCTCCGAGAGTACAAGGAACTGGGGTCTGAAAAGCCTGTGACGTCACGCAAAGTAGGCCTATGCATGTTCTTATGGAGTATCGCGATGCCTGGCTGGCAAGAGAACCGCGCCACCATTTCTCTGCGGTATTGTCATATCTAGACTTGATATAGCAGTATCGAAATCTCTACTAATTAGTTGTACCTCTCTGTGGGCGAATTTGCAAGGTATACTCGGGGCCTACGCAGCTTTAGTGATGATGTGATTATTCTTTCTGATCTGTCTCAGTATGTCAAGAATACATTTTCGATATTAAGTTCAATCTGTCACTTATAAAGTCTAATATTCTATTCAAAATTGGAATATGTGGCAACCTTGGTAACACCAACAGCCAACTAACCTCACATTCTGAGCCTCTATTATGTATCTTTGTATGCTATGTAATCTGAAAATTATTGATGTCTTAAACTTATTTTTGTGTCTCGCGATTGTTTAGCTAAGTTTTCAAAATGCCTTAAAAGTGCTGCGTTCCTAACTGTGCCGGTAATTACGGGAAGGGTCCGAAAGTACACGTATTTTCGTTTCGATTGAATGAAAACTGTCGTAAAAGATGGCTCAATGCAATCCCTCGTAGTGATTTGGTGGTTACAAAAAACACACGAGTATGCAATTTGTACTTTGCTGAGGACAGCATCACTTGGAAATCCACCTTCCATGACGAAAAGACAGGTAGGACCATTACTGTACCCCTTAAGTATCCAAAACTAAAGGCAGATGTAATTCCAAGTATCTTTGCAAATTGTCCATAATACATTTCAAACGACATATCAAGCAGAAGAAGCCGAGATGAGAAATTGTAGGACAAAGAACAAGAAAAACTACTTAAAGCACTGCAAAGTAACATTGATGATTGTTCCTCCTATCAAAAATCAACAAGTTTTCAAAATTATTCAGACCTTCTCACAGTTTTCAGTTCATGGCAATGTCCATATGGGTGGCATAAAATTGTTCAGGATAAAGTTACTTTATTTAAGTTAGAATATAAACCAGCACCCATCATAACTCACTCTGTAATTTTTGATATTCATTGATATTATATGGAAGTGGTGGAGAATTGTCAATGTAAAAAGTCCATTGAAAGGAAAGCGGTTAAATCACCTTTATGCAGAGCCTATTGTTTGCTCCAACAGTGATGGACAAGGTGATGACAGTAAGCTGACATTCTGGCAAAAAGAATAGTGGAATGATCCAGCAAAATTTTCAAAAAGACTAGTCAGACTTACACTGCACTACATCATACAGTATATGGATTATTGGAATTAGTAAGGTACTGTAAATCTGAACTGCACAGTAATTATATATTGTTAGGTAAATTTCAAACTGACTCATTGGAAAATAGATTTGATAAGTATCGTCAACTGGCAGGGGGTCAATAGAATATATCAATTCGTCAGTTATATGAATTTGAGAAAAAGTTACGAACTCAAAGCCTGATGTCGTTGAAGTCTCGCCATGGTGATATACAAATAAATAAATTCCATGAAAATGATCATATAGAAATAGATGAAATTCCACACAATGTTAATGATTACCACTTTTTCCGGGAAATTGAAAATTTACAGTCTGATATTGATAGTATAAAGGATGAAATCCCTGTCATCACCTACTTAGCTGGTTACTGTTGTTATGTCTTATTAAAAAAATCACTGCGATCATTGTAAGGAAAATTTGATACATACAGATGACATTGACATAGAAGACAAGCACAACATTATACAGAATTTGAGTAGAGGTGGCTTAAAATTCCCAAAGGATCCAGTTATTAATATTGTCAGGCTAAGTTATATAATGTTCAATAAAGTTTTGGAAAGTGACGAGGAATCATTTTTAGAAATCACTGATAGGAGACGCGCCCTTTCTCAGTTGATAATTAACAATCTGAGTGGTAATAATCATGACACTTCATTTTCGCGTTGCACACTCCATTCACCAGATTATGTTATAAAACTAATTGTTATTTGCACAATCAATAAATTTTTGAAAAATTAGTGTGCCAAAAGGAGCGACAGCTTTTGCAAGCGCGAATAAAACAAAGAAACGTAAATTGACTACATTCACATGAGGCATCAACATTTACATAGCTCTAGATAAATGTTTATTTGTATATATTCAGAATTTAGTACTTTAATTTTCGTTATTCTAATTTTTATTTTTGATACTTGTTTTCTGTTTTCTAATTTTTGTTATTATTTTGTGCGGTATTTTGTTTGTTCTAAGAGTTTTTATTAAGTTTTCATTAATCTTTGTTATGTTTTTCTGTTGTTTATTTTACTTTGATTTTATCTGTTTTTTTTTATGATTAATCCTACAGTTTTTGCTGCTCATCTTCCTTATTCCTTTCCTGGCAAGAGCTTACCTCAGACCTCCTCGTTGGTTCGTGTTGGACACAAGTGTTCGACATGCGCTGCATTTTTTATATAATTTTTAAGTACCATTATATTATGGCTATAATAATAGTAAATTGTCCACATATTCCTGTGAAATTTTGTTGATCTGTTGTGACTAACATGGGGTTATTCATTGAAAAATTTATCATTTTTGGCAAGCTTTTATAACAGCAACTTATTACTCTAATGTAATAATAATAATAATAATAATAATAATAATAATATTTATTCACTCAATGTACAAAGATAACAAACAATATGAGTAAATAAATATAAAATCAAAACAAGCCCAATAGAAGGCATCGCCTGTACATGGACCAATAATTTAAGTTGAAACTGTAGAATGCAAATGACAAAGAAGGACAAAAATTAGCTACAGTAGATTATGTATTTAGTTGATGTTCGTATTTATGAGTTTATGAATTTCAGTCCTAGATATAGAATGTAGCCACTTTTTTAAATTTCTTTTGAAACAATTTCCGAAACTTAAATCTTTTAAGTCTTTAGGTATAATTTCATAAAATTTAGGCGCTAAATAGAGATATGATCGCTGCATTATAGATTTATGCGGTTGAGGAACTACTGTGCCACGAATTTTGTACCTGGTATAATGATTATGTTTAATTTTTTGGTCGGTGTTTACAAATTTATGGTAGTGAGTGATACTGTGTAAGAAATAAAGCTGTCTTATATCATACATTCGAACATCTGCGTATAATTTTTCAGTGGGATAAGGTTTCGGTTTTTTAAATATCATTTTTAGAATACTTTTTTGAAAAACATCTAAATTATAGATATGTGAGGAACATGCAGCTCCCCATGCTAATATACCATATGTGAGATGAGGCTCAATCAGTGCATGGTATAATGAAGATATTTTTCTGTCAATATATTCCCAAGGTGTTAAATTTTGTTTTCCCAGTAATCTCATCAATAGTTGTCCAAAGCCGCTTAGGATCATTTAAGTTATTATTCAATTTATTTAGGTAATGTTTTCGTTTGGTTTGCCTTACAAGCTCTATAAATTTATTTTTATATTGATTGTAGCAGTCGGTATTCTCTGTAGTTGGCGTTAGTTTCATTACATTATATAGTCTTTCTTTTTCTATTGCCGATGTTATTAATCCTTTGGTAATCCAGGCATTTCTGCTTTTCTCTTTGTGACTAATTATTACTTTATTGGTACTAATATCTATTAGTTTTTTATTTTCTCTATGAACAGTCCCGTTGCTTTGTCTATATTATTTATAGAGTATAATTGTTCCCAGGATTCTTGTTTGACATTTGATATTAGTTTTGAATTGTCGACAAAAGATTTGTAATTTTCCTGGTTGTTATTAACGGTAGGGATGTTAGAATGTTTTTCATTTGAAGATATCAGTAAAATAGTGGAGAAGTGGTCAGTAATATCGCTTTCTAGGATTATTGGTATACAAGTAGTTTTGTTGGATAGGTCTTTCACAAAGCAGTGATCTATACATGTGCCACTGATGGACCTTGTAGGTAGGTTTATATAGGACAGAAATCCGTTACTTGATAGGATATTCAAGTATTCATTTGTGATGGGATCATCGTCCAAAATATTTATATTGACATCTCCCAAGAAAATATGTTGCTTTAAATGAACTTCATTTTGATTTTGAAAAAAAAAATCGATATTCTTTGAAAACTCGTGGGGTTCTGAACATGGCGGACGATAAATTGCAGATACCTCAATTTTGTTATGGTTAATTTGGATCATCATGTTTAAAATTTTGATTCCATCGGTGAAAGTGAATGTATCATGATTATATTGCAGTTTATTTCTTACAAAAACTATCACCCCATCGTTTTGGTTATAAGTGCCAAAGTTATACAGCGTGTCATATCCCTGCTGATTGAAGCAAGAAATATCAACCACTTGCCACGTTTCAGTTAAAACTATTAGATCAAAATTGTACCATATTTGGTCGAGTAGTATTTTTAAGTAATCAATGTTGTGTTTTATACTCCTTATGTTCATATTAAAAATTCGGAATTTTGCATCAGAATTTTGTGTACATAAATTAAGTTCATCGACGTTTTGTGCTATATTTGTTGCAATACTTGGAATTTGGAAATCATTAATGTATTTATTTTCAGGTCCTCTTTAGAGATAGGAGTAGTGTAATAGTGTAATAGTCCAAGTAATGTTGGATGAAATATCAGTGAAAATCAGGGTGAAAATAGTTAATAACTACTTTAATATTTTCCACCAAATTGCCTTCATATACCAAAAACACTTTTCTGAATTATCCGTTATTTACATCAGATAGAGTATAATAAATATGCTGCAACAATATAATATTGACTAGCGCTGATGTACGGCACGCCGTGCTGTCGGCCGGCCGACCGGCTTACTCGTGGTGACGTCACGAGTGCATTATGTGATTTGATTTGACTGAGCGTGCAGAAATCTAGGTAGATACGGCAACGCCGGCTACGTTTTCACGTTGAACGCACGGATTCTTCCGGTGTTTACAGGTTACAGACGTATCAGATGCCAAAAAGGCTGACGATAACCAACGAATAGTACACTAATGATAACAACTGACCTTAGATACGCAGTCTGGTTGCTTGAGACGAAATTAATTTATTAAAAATGCTGCAAAACAGATCCAAAACACGCACGTCGAAAACTACACTGATATACTGATTTCTGAGTGGAAATAACACCCTCTTGCGATTGATCCATGACTTTCGGGACACCCTGTATACTTGAGTTCCTCAGACTGGCGGTCAAATTGTTAATACGTGTTCCCACGTTACAAAGCAGCCCAACTCTGACAAGCTCTAGTATCTTATCTAGTAGCTCAACTATTGCCAAAATCTAGAAGTCTGTGACACCAGGCTTAAAAAAGCCGATTCAATATAATATCAAACAAAACATTATACAATTTATTGACATTCTGTCTGGTTGTGAGTAGTCAATATGCATAATATTTTTAATAAACATGCTTTTATTACCTTGGCCTATATGTATGTAGGAATCATTGAGCATAATTTTCACCAATTTCCAGATTAACTTGAGACTTCGTATACGTATCAAGGACCGATGACGATTGAATAATTCGATTATCCTACTTAAGAAATTATTTTCTGCTTTTTAGTTTGGTTAGCCATAAAAGCGTGTTTTTTTTTGTTTTTTTTTTAACTATTATTCATTATAGCATGTGATATAATGTCCTCTGATGGAACAATTTTTCCGTGAACTGATATGGACGGCAACGTTGAGCTGGCAACCAAAAATCAATGGTACCTGCAAA